CCCCGGGTGATGACGGAGATGTCGAACGATATCGATAAAGGGACGTGCTGGCTGCAAGTGATGACAAGAACATGGGGATGGAGATGGAGATTGGAAAGTGAAACTTGAGCAAATGCAAATGGAATGGAGAAGGAGAGAAGATGGAATCCACAATAATACATGACGATCCATAATAATATTATGGAACATGCCGATGCCGACAGGACATGACATAACAAACCATACAACATTCCCATTCTTGCATAAGTCATATTATATTCATCACCGAAGCAGCAACTGTCACTTTGGAATTTCCACCTCACCTCACCTTGACTTGTCTTGTCTTGCCATAGTCACCCATCAGCGCATCATGTCATAGACTGTCCAGACCCTGTCCAGCTTAACTCCTGAGATCGATCAAGAACAAGAGGGAGACGAGTCGGAAGATAGAGAAGGAGAGAGAAGGAGAAAGAAAGAAAGACAGAAATATGATTCCTAGGAAGACATCATGGATCCCGAGTCAACTGCGCCCTTGGAACGATCAGCATCACAGCTCTCCACAACTTCAGCTTCAACTTCGACAAAGGGCACACGTAGCCACTCGACTCGCGCAAAGTCCAAGTCTAGGAAGCTGATCTCACAGCCTTCGAGCTCGGCTTCGTCTATTGCAACTTCTGACAAGTCTCTCACTTCCTTTCCTTCTTTCTCTCCTCAGTCGCCACGTCGCGACGCGTCGCTCACCACGCCAGAATTCAGTGCTTCCATCGCCGTCAAGGTCGAGAGGAAGCCATCCAAAGCGACAGCGACGTCCATTGTCGAGAGCCTGACCTCGTCCGAAACCCAAAGGACTGCGCGCAATTCGCTCTTCGATGACGCTCCCTTGACGACTCACAAGATACCTGGTGCCCTTCACCATGCCGATAACGAACATATCGAACGTCTAATCGCGAGGCACGGGGCTGTTAACCTTGTGCGCCAGATCGCTGAAGATCTAGCACATCGCGATCACGAGATCGCCAGACTGAGAAGAAGAGCGGACGAAAGAGAAAGAGCACTAAGAAAAATAATATTCGAATGTGGTCTATCAAGCTTGGACCTTGAGACAAAGCTGAGGTCGGTGGAGGCAGAGCTCCAAGCGCAGGATAGGATAAAATGCGCTTTGAGTGGAGATGTTTCCGGCATGATGAGTGCTGCGATGCGTGATTCAATGTCCTACGATGGGCTGGGCATTAATGATGTGAACGATGCTACGGTTAGAGCAAGCAGCTTGTCTATGCCTAAGGATGCTAATCCTAGCAAAGGCACTATGAAAGCCTGGAAGGACTACCTTTGGGGTGGTGGAACAAGCAGAAAGCCCAGCAGAGCAGCCAGCATCAATGAAGAGGCTTCAAAGACGGTCCTTCGCGTGCCGACACCGGGAGACCGCCGGCCTACGATCCAGGAAGACCTCTTCGTCCCTCTGGATGCCGATTCCGTGCGAAGCTCTAGTCGAGCTTCTAGCATCTACTCTGGCAATGCAGCTAGAAAACCTTCCGCATCTTTTGCTAGTATGGCTTTGCAACTCGTCGCTGGGAAGGCCTCAGCCCGCGATTCTGATTCTGGCAGGGGAAGGTCGAATTCGGCAGGCCAGAACGGCTCTGTGAGGTCATCATCAAATGCTAGTGCCAAGACTGGTGCCTCAAACCGAGCAGTTTCGATACAAGGGGGCCCTAAAGCGCTCATGTCGATGCGACGAGCGACCCCGAAGCCCTCGAATGTGCAACTTTCGCGACCACGCGACAGGTGGGAAAGTATAGGGGCAAACCCGGAGAGTCCATCGACAGCGAGGTCAGATAATTACGGGCCGGTCGAGATGGACACTATCTTTGCCCCCGAAGCCCAGCCGCCGGCTCTGTCGCAACTCTACAACAACTACAACGACGGCGAATATTTGATTGACCGCTTTGGCTTCATTTACGATCAGCGTCGGAAGAAGAGGCAGCGCGATGCGGCCCAGGTCGCTTTTCAGATGAAGAAAGGACACGAGATGTTGTCTAGTGGAAGGTCTAACCTCTCGCCCAGCTTACTCGATGATGATACAAGTTCAAATCGAGACATTGGAGCCGATGATCGCCCGGAAAGCCCGACATCGATTGAGGAGTCTATTGACCAAGGCAAGCCGAAAAGATGGCAGGACTATCTCAAGATCGCTACTTTCCCGACGGAACTCCTTTCCCACACTCCTTCTATCACGGCTTCAAAAATAGAGGTACTTGAAGGGAACGAGCCGGCCAAGTCCCCAGGTCTGATCAGCTCAGATGACCGTGGGTTTGTCCCGTCCGCGACTACCACCACTTCGGCTCTCGATAGGGAAGCGAGCCCATCACCAGACGAAGAGTCAGCCACTGCTACTCTCGTGCATGAAGACGCGGAACCAGTAAAGCTCCTATTAAAGCAGCTAAGTGACGTCCATGATACTCTGCAGAGAGAAAAGTCTGTCCGCTGGAACGAGTTTCTACGAAAGGTGCGCGCCGAGCGCCGTCGCGAGGGAGAAGCTGCGGCTGCTACTGCCGCCGCCGCTGCGGAAGCTCGTTTCCAGCTAGCGCCCGTCATGATTCCTGAAGCCAAACTTACCGATGGTGAGACTATTGGCATTGCGGATCTCGGGGTCAAAGGAAAGGTCGGACGCGCGAAGTGGAACGAATTCAGGAATCTAGTGCTAGGTGGTATTCCTGTAGCGAATCGTCCTAAGATCTGGGCAGAATGCTCCGGAGCCCTTTCTAAGCGAACCCCGGGCTACTACAAAGATCTTATCTCGCGACCCAGCGAGGCCGATGACGCGGTCGTTATATCCCAGATCGAGATGGATATTCACCGCACGCTTACCGACAACATATTCTTCCGCAAAGGCCCCGGCGTCGCGAAGCTCCATGAATTGCTTCGCGCGTATGCTAGGCACAACCCCGAAGTCGGATACTGTCAGGGCATGAATCTCATAGCTGCGAATTTACTGCTTATTATGCCATCTGCCGAGGATGCTTTCTGGGTCTTTGTGTCTATCGTCGAGCGTATCTTACCTCAGGGATACTACGATCACAGTTTAATGGCGTCCCGCGCAGACCAGCATGTTCTGCGCCAGTACGTTAGCCAAGTCCTTCCGAAATTATCCCAGCACCTCGAAGCGCTGAGCATCGAGCTCGAAGCCTTGACATTCCAGTGGTTCCTCAGCGTCTTCACCGACTGTCTCTCAGCCGAAGCCTTGTTCCGCGTCTGGGACGTCGTGCTCTGTATAAATGACGGCAGCACGTTTCTGTTCCAGGTAGCGCTAGCCCTGCTAAAGCTCAACGAGAGGCAACTACTGCAGTGCGATACACCCGCGTCCATCTACACGTACATCAACCACCAGATGACCAACCACGCCATCAGCATCGACGGCCTCATCCAGGCCTCCGAGGGGCTCAGGAAGGTTGTCCGGAGAGAAGACGTCGAGGAGCGCAGGGCCAAGGCCATCGAGGCCGACAGGCAGGTGGCAAGGGAACGCGAGGAACGCAGCCTCGCGCGCCAGAAGAACCAACAGAAGGGCCCCTCGCTGCCAGCGCTCGTCACCGAAGCCAGCGCCTCGGCGCTTCCCAGCCCGGCGCCCCGCCCCACAGCCCGAGACGACAGCGAGAGCGGTAGCGTCGCTAATCTTAGTGCTCTAGACGACGATAAGGATGGTGGCGGCGACGCGGGGATAAAGATCCGTGCGTCTACGCCGGCGGAGGAGGAGGCGTCGTTCGCGCTTGGCGCTTGAGCATGGGTCTTTGAAGACCCGGCCTGGACGGACAGACGGACGGACGGACGGCAGCAGGGCAAACACAGGTGCTACAGGAAGGAAGGGATGTTTTTGCCATTGCACAAGCGGTCGGTGGCTTACCTTTGCTTTGCTTTGCTTTTTTTTGCTTTTAGAGATTGGAACGAACATGCAATCGGTACATGCCATGATACCCCCTTTTTTCTTGACTTTCCCTTTCCATTGCAGCAGAAAACTCCCGCTTTTTTTTTATATGCATATCTTAGGTTAGCTCGTGTAGTTGGACTGGACAGTTGGACGAAGGGACTGATGGGCGGATGAGTGGATGGACGGTAGGTAGGCGAGCTGGCAAGCTGGCACATACATACGTATCATTGGCTCAACAGAGATGGGAGTTCGATCCTTGTGCATAGGGAGTCTACTTGCGAATCGGTGCTGTGAGATCTGCGTGTGAAGTGTTGGTGACATTGGCTGGCTATCTAGGGGTAGGCTAGGTATTGTTGCTTGCTTAGATTGCTTGAAGTGATAGGATGAGATGGGATGAGATGAGTGACATGAAACGAGGTAAGGGACGGCTACTCGATGGAACGAAACGGACGGATGCTGTGTTCGAGTAGTTGAAGTAAGCAAAACGACGTTAGATAGGTAGGTAGTTAAGATGAGAAGTGTTGCTGCCTTTACTGCGTGCTATTATGCACATGTATGGGTTTTCGTCTGTGATACTTATACCAGGACGTGTTAGTACCGTGGATGCCTTTGATACAACTAAGGGGGGCGTTTCATGATTATATGTATTGCTAACTGTATTCTAAGCCGGTGTTCGTCAATGGTATGCTTATTTGATATATTGACATGCCATTGTGTATATGATTTATACATGCGCACATAAAAATATAGAAGTGGGTAAATAAATACCTAGGTGCTCATACATAGTAGCATTGTGTCACGAAAATAATGAGGTTACTTGTTACAGTTGATCAGCTGCTATCATCGCAGCTCTGGTATTAGATGAATTCGTGTATCATAGGAGAAGAGTAAGTGCTTGCTTGATAGGGGACGTTGACGTTAATCGAGTCAAAGTTGGCAGTCAGAGACAGTCAATTTATAGTACAGTTCCACACTATGTAATCGCACCTTCCTACAAATTATATAATAGGAACGACAGGATAGAACCAGGCAGCGCACCATCCAAACGCTCGATAGCAGAGCTGGGAAAATAATTAGTAATAAGGGAAATATGCAAAAAGTTCTCCGAATCGGGGAATCGAACCCCGGGCTTGACGGTCCTTAGATCGCAATCATGAGAGCGTCAAATGTTAGCCACTACACCAATTCGGACTCTGGCAACAGCCTAGTTAACCGGTTGAAAGTCGGTAGTACAAATTAGGTATATATTCAAATAATTAGAATTTATAATTACGTAAGAAAAGTTTAAAATATGTAGCAAGTACGTTTTTAATCGATAACGCAAGATTCTGGAGATTCGCTCCCCTCTTCAACATCAACACCATTTTGAATTCTCACTTGCGAACGCCTCGTTCATCAAACGAATTCACTCATAATAGAAATGCAACTCAGGTTATCAAATAATTTTTTACAAGAATAAAGTCCTGCGCTCCGCAAGTAACGGATTGGACAGCAGGAGGGTAATGCTCATATCTACATATCAAACATTTTGCAGCCTCTCCTATCTTCTCCTGTCTTTTCGGGGCCCCCCTTCAGCGCACCGCCTACTCCATGAACACCAGGCTCGGCGACCTAATCTTACTAACCATGCCTCGACTAAATAGACTGGCTTTCTATCCTAACCTCAGTACTAGTGACAAGACCAAGACAATCCCAAGTCATACGGCATGCCAACATCGTTCTCCCTATTATTCTGTGAAGTTTTGTGGGTAATCTTTTTTTATACACGAGTCCCTCCACCGTAGACTCGAACTGTAGCTGCCAGTATGAACCCCCCACCCCCGCTTGCCATGAATTGGTTGGCTTCTCAAAAACCCGCGGATGCGTCTCAGGTATCAAGAGTTGAGAGCATCGCAATGGGATCGTCCGTTGGGCGTGAAATGCTTCCTGCCGTAAAAATTCCGCCAACTCCCCAACTGGATATAGACCAATATTCAGAACCCCCTCACGTAATTCCCGTGACCAGTTTTGGGCAATTAGAATTACCGTGCAAAGACCTTTACGATTCCGTCCCCTCCACCACTAACAACCCATCGGCCGTCTTGACTCCAGACGACGGCACACACGCCCTCTCCCCTCATAATCCGGTGGCTGGTAATCTCCTGGGTACAGCTTCGTTTCTCCAGAGACCAGAACCGAAGGCTTGCATCGTGGCCGGCAGACACGAGCTCCCGGCCATCGGGACTAAGGGACAGGGACGATATTGATGCCGGGTGGGCGAGCATGTTATATGTACATTGACCTATCGAGCAATTAGCAAGGCACATACTTAAATGAATGGGTCCCAAGAACTTACCGCTGTTGGCATCGAAGAACCTGATAAAACGATCTTCGTGCCCAGATATAATGACGCCCTCAACCCCACTGCCAGCTGTGCCACCACCACCAGTAGGACCGCCAGTATCTTCATCGCCTAGGCCCGAACCAGAACTCTGGTCGAGGCCTACCGTTGTTGCGACGATGGCGTTGACGCTCGTGTTGATAGTGCTGTCGTAGGTCTCGAGGCTGGCCATAGAGCCAATCTCCTCACCTGTCCTCGTGTCAAACACAATGATAGCTGCATCCGAATAGCTGACCACGAAGGATTCGCCATTGGGTGAAAGCGGAGTAATGCATGTCGGCGAGGCCGGTGGGTTCGGTGAGCCACTGACAGCGCGACGGATGTCGTGAACGAGAGTGTAATGGAATGGCGAATTCGAAGCCATGTTCGGTTGAGGTGAGCTTGGGAATTGTGATCCAGAGCTCATGGAGTTGCCCCTGACTCGACCGCTTCCAGCGGCACGTCGGGGTGGTCCTGGTTGTGGCGATGTAAGCTGTGGCGGCGCACTGACAGCCCAGATCTTCACGGCACCATCAGCCGCACCGGACACGACTAGGATGCGATCCGGGCTTCCATAGGGATTCGATTGGCCGAAGACGGCACCGAGAGTCGCAGGTAGTACGCAGATAGCCCAGACAGCATCGGTATGGCCATCGAAAGTCGCTTTTGGATCTACCCTTCCGCGTTCCCATACTCTGATCGTTGCATCTTGTCCACCTGAGAAGATCCAACCATCACCCTGGGCACGACCTCCAGTAGAAAAGTTAGGGGACGGTGACCAAGATGTTAGTGACAGGACGGCTCCGGTGTGCCCACGGTGGGTGAAGTCGGCGGGGACATCGAGATCGGATGATATGCCGCCGAGGTGGGTTGGATTCTCGCGCGGTATGTGGAAACGTTTGATCAGTCCGTCATCACCTGCTGTGCAGATCTCCGGCTCGCCGGGACTTCCGCCTCCGGAAAATATCACGGTGCGGACACTATTGAGATGACCACGGAGTCCAAATCGCAATTTGAAGCTGCCGTCTGCCTTCTGCGCCATGCCGTTGAGGGAAAGCTCTTGCTCCGCGCTTTTCCTGCGAGACATAGAAGTCTTCCGCCTGTGGGAAGCAGGACCACGGTTAGGAGACTTGGGGAGGTTTTCGGCATTGGGGAAGACATCAGTATCCGGACGGTGAGTGAGAGGCTGTAGCGGCTGCGCGGATCCGGGGTCTGGGAATGTCCCTTCGCCAAAATCCCAACCGTCACCATCGGCAGGTCCTCGCTTCTCCAATTGGCCTTCGGTATACTCGGCACGCCCGGACTCGCTAGAGTGGTTTATTTTCGAGTTCATGTCTTCCTGCATACGAATTGCCGGTGGTCCGGAGCCAGACCAATCCCCATGCGAGTACATCTGGGCCGGGTTCTCCCCGGAACGGACCATCGGTGTAGATTGCAGGTCTGCATTCTTCGGGGGTACGTTAACCGCGGAATTTCCTTGCTGCATCATCGACATGTGGTGATTGTTCGCATTTGGAGCGCCCTGGCGGGATGCTGGGTCCTTCACGTGGTTTTGGTTGAGCCTTAAAGCCTGAAAAGCTGAGTCGAGAGGTTGTTGCGACATGGGCATTCCGAAATCTCCTTCTCTCATGTCGTCAATCAGAGGCAAAGGCGGGGATTCTCGAGGAGGCATAGGATTAGCAGGAGAAATCATTAGATAGGTGAATTCAGCTTGGCACTGATCGAGAAAGACCCTAAGATTATCGCGCTCGTCATCCTCTTGGACACGCTCGCCTAGGAGGCCTTCTAAGCCAGGTACCGTTTCTTTCAATTTCTCGTTGGACGCTGCAAACAAAGTTAACACACACTCTTGATACTCTAGCACGTTGGAACAAATCAACTTATACATACATTTCAGCTTCTCCTGAATCAAGGCTGCCCTGTCGAGTTTCTGGGGTTGCTTGACGGAATGGTCCGTGTCTGAAGGGGTGGAAGATGCGACCTTCAACTGGGCGGCCTGATCCTTGACCTTCTTCTCCAGGATGGTGACATATCTCTTCAGCGCCTTTTGCGTAGCGTCGGCTCTTCTAGCAGAACCCTCGAGAGCGGCTATTCTACCTTTCATCTCCTGGCGTTCGATCTCCCAAGCGTTCCGATCCCGCTCGTGTCGATGCCACTCGGTTTGAAGGAAGCGCATAACACCTATGGGACACGAGCGAGTTAGCTTAAGGGTCTAAAATAGGAAGCAGGCTTGAATTCGGTATGTAAATTACCTTGTAATGTATACTCGGTGGCATGCGGCTGATTTGATGGGTTCATGGATGCTCCCCCTCCTATTTCCTGGCCGCCCCCCATACCATTCCCACCGGCTCCCATGCTGGATACCTGTTGCCAGCTCATGGGTCTTTGCTTTCCGGTTCACCAATTTGACGGTGTTCAACCCTCACTACCGTCGTCACCGTCAAGATTGAGGCGGCTTTCTCGACATGCGCATTTGCGTCGCGAGCACCTCAACGAGAGACAACGTCGTAACCAGGACAGAGGATGCGACGAAGGAAGATCAATTAGCTCAACGTCTCATGAGTAAAGCAGGAAAGATCGCGAGAAAGCTAGAGACGTTCTTTCGTGTGCGAAACGTCGAATGCTCGGATGGTCGCGATAGTTCGGATAGAAAAGAAGCTCGGGTCCAGTAGGGGATTAAAAAAAAGATGATTAAATGAGGTGGTAAATGAGCGAAGAGAATCAAGATAGTTGGAATTACTTGACCGGAAGACAAATGAAACTCGGTGCAAAACGGTAAAAAGCGCAGCTATGTCGTCGGTTCGTGTCGTAATGCGTGATATGATATCTCGACGTTTTGGCTGGCGTCGTGTGTCCAGATGGCAGAAAGTTGAGACGTGATGGATGGATTTGGAAAGCTGTTAGGTCCTGTTGCTGGTTAGGAGCGAGGAAGCGTGGTACCTAGGTACGTCCAGTACTCTCTGCCATGCCCGATTAGGTCATTACCGCCCCAAGCCACTGCTATCCGACCAATTAGATTGCCGTATGCCACACAAGGCTAGGTAAAAGTTCCCCTGAAGCTGTGCATCTCTGTTATCTGCGCTTGGACCACCATATATCTTAGCTACCTCTTACCTAAGGCCACGCCATCTTTTTCATCCTTGCGACCAACGTGCTTCATCTCTGCTTATCTAATCATCGGATCTATGTAGTACTATTCGCATTTTGACAACAGTCCTCACTCTTTTTACAACAACTCCATGCTTAGTATGATACTAGAGACGACAGAAAGACACAGCCTATCGGAGGATGACTCACCTTCACTATATATCGTATAACAACTAGCTTTACTTATAATGTATGAAGTATTATATTCAAACAATTATTGTCCGCCCTTTCACTGTATTGTCAGATACATACCTCTCATAGACATGCACATAGAATTCGAGTCTGATGTGGGCACTTTTGATATATTTGTGTTTATGCAATAAAGCAGGTAGCATAAAAGAAATGAAGCGCGTGTGGAGACGACCCGCTAGAGAACGATGGAAGCTACAGCCGAGGTTCGATTAAACTATACCAGAACCCCATATTTTACCACCATGCGGCTAACCTCAGTACCTTGGTATATTACCCTCCTTTATTCCCCACGTAGCTGTAGTCTTACATCAGATATAGAGCTTCTGTGATTCTTCTTAGATTCTAAATTTTCTATCATTTCCCACATGAAGTTATGAAATCATATCAACCGACTGTCTTGGATTTGCCATAGTCTTTAAGAATACCTCCATCCACGCCGAGACCGTAATGCGATAGTGACCTAACTAGGGGCTTTGTTGAGATTCGAATCCTC